TCTTCACGGCTGATGCCCAATTTAACTCGATTATCTATATTTCCAATTAATGACAAAAATGTTGTGGAATCTTTTTCTGGATATATTACCTTCCCTGCACATGAGAGAAATATCTTTAGTTCAATCTTGAACGATAAATAAATCTTGCAAACTTTTGGTATGTTTAATTAGACATACCGTATATACTTGATAGAATTATAAAAGGGATAATTGCACCCACAGCATCAAACATTTCGTTTTGTTGTAAACTTATTCAAATCTTTCATTTGTATCATTCACGGTATCAAATCTTTCAAAAATTCACACCCAGAGTCCAAATGGAAGATTTCCTTCCATTTGACTATTAGTTGACTAAAATAGTGAACCTTGACCAACTTTTAAAAGGTTAAATCGGTAAGTTCATATTTTTCACAACAACCCAACTGTAATTATTAACTAATAAAAAACAAAATCAAAACATCATCTTCTTCTCATCCTCATCTACCCCACCTACCCCTAAACCAAAAAGGGTGGAAATAGGCAAACCCATCTCCGCCACTCCCACTTGCCACCATCGTCACTGCCACTGCCATCCACCGTTGACCGTGTGGCCACCGCAAATGGCATTTGTAGATATCCACAACCGTCTCTAACTTATCACCAAATGGAATTTTGGTTCTCCAAAATATGATGCTTTAAATCAGCTCTTTGAAGAAGGGATGATTAATGTATGCAATTTTCAACCTTTAATTTTGACCGTTTCGCGAAGATGGGTATGATTTCAATCATTTACGGTGGCGACCGCACGGCCTACGGTGGTTGAAGGTGGCGGCGACGATGATGGTGGCAAGTGGGGGTGGCGAAGATGGGTTTGCCCATTTCACCCTTTTTGGTTTAGGGGTAGATGGGGATGGGAAGAAGATGAAGTTTTGATTTTTTATTTTTTTTATTATTTAAAAATTACACTTGGATTGTTTGTGAAAATGTAAATTTACCAATTTAACCTTTTAAAAATTGGTCGAGGTTCACTATTTTGGTCAACTAACAGTCAAATGGAAGAAAAACATCCATTTGGACTTTGTGTACGAATTTTTGAAAGGTTTGATATCGTGAGTGATACAAATAAAATGTTTGAGCTAAACCTGCAACAAAACGAAAGATTTGGTATTGTGGTTGCAATTCTCCTATTATAAAATGAACAACAAAACATGTCCAATATCGACTGTGATCCATGTTGTGACTAATTGAATTATGTTTGATTCGTCAAATTACACCACTGTTTGGTTTAATTAAAAATTAGATTTTTAATAAGATTTTGATAAAAATTTGACAAGTAATTGAAAAGTTGATAAAATTTGTGGATCCTATGAAATGTGTGGTTGAAAAT